TAAACTACCAACCATGGGTGGGTGCCAAAGCGACCCATCAGTACGGAGAGGAAGCATGAGCCTCACCCCCTCAAACGCCCTCTTAACGACATCAACGGAAGCAGCCACAACAAGGGCCTCACATTTCCGAACGTTGCAGCGCATACCAAAAGCAGCACAGAACTCAATAAGCAGCTTAAGCGAGAACTGGAGGCGTGCCAACGAGGTCGCGAACAAAGTAAGGTCGTCTGCATAGAACAACAGAGGCAACCGACGATCATTAATGACAGGACATTCGTGTGCACGTGTGTTGAACCATTCGTCCATACCATCCCTCGCTTCAAGGTAGTCAGCAATAACCTCAATGAAGAACCCGAACAAATTGGGACTCATGGGACACCCCTGCTTCACGCCCTGCAGAGAGGCAAAGATGGACCCTAGGCGACCGTTAACCTTGACCCGTTGGAGAACACGTTCGTAGCTGGCTTTAAGGGCCGCCAACATGGGTCCATGCACACCCCTCTCCTCAAGACGCTGCCACAGGCTTGCCCGGGGCACTCTATCAAAGGCTTTCTCAAAATCCACCTCATAGCAAATCAAGCGCGCAATATACCTCGACGGTACGACACAGTGCTGCTGCTGCTGTTGCTGTGCCGCCAGCCTCCGGCCAAAGCCCACTGTGCAGTTATTACTAATCCTCGTACCGTACCGCGACATGAAAAACACAATAGGATGATGCTCCACAAACTACAGCACACGGAAGAGTCACGACACCACAACCGATAGCAACCGACCAGTTAATCGCCCGTACAGCCAAAACAGATTGGTAATCTGCTGGACACATCCCTCAACTCAAATCAACGCACATACTGACACTCGTAATAGTGAAGTGCTCAGCCCCCCTCAGCACCACGACGGGGTGCCGCCGCCGCCACAGCAGCACCAACACGAGCCTCGGGAAGAAGACAGCGGAGCCAGGCGCCTCTGCCACCTAGGGAAGAACGATAAAGGGAAAACACAAGCGCGTCAGAGAACGTCCCATTTCCTAGAAACGGCGCACTTACCTCCTTTACCCGTCCGCGAGCCCATAACCTGAGCGGGTAGAAACCCACCGTACGAGCATCAGGCGAGCATGCGGTGGTCGGGCCCTGCATTGCAAAGTCCCGCTTCGCGCAAATAGCGACACGAACAACGG